TTGCCGAATGGAATATTGCGATATGTTTAGCTCACGAACCATTTTTCGGCCACTGCGACACGGATTTCGATCAAGTCGCTTCTTTACTTTTCGAAGCATTTCTGCTGATGTGTTGCTGTTTTCTTCGGTCCATTTCCTTGACGTCGGACTACGCTACCAGTATCACGGTAACGAGCGATGGTACGAGACACAAAATATTTATTCACAATTAAATGCTGGAGTGCTCTAACGATAGCCACTTGTGATTTTCCGGCCAAATATAAAGAAATCACACTATCACGCTTGAATTCCATCAAGAATAACTTTTTTTCTGGAAAATTCTCACCAAAATGCTTTTGTACGCTTGTAAGAAATATAATGAGCTGTCACCGACAGCAGTCTGAAGTTGGATGCAGTTTTTTCATCTCACCCTGTATATTCTTCTGTATTAGCTCCTTCAAGTAGTTCGATATCTAATATGTTATGGTTGATGCTTTATACCAGAGCTGAGCAAAATCATATGAAGGGATTGTTTAGAGGAAATTAAAATTGCAGTTTTCATTATATTTGACAGTTGTTAATTTTTTTTTTTAAAATCGAGTTTGTTATAAAATCGAATTTTTTAAAAACTAAATGAATCACACATAGAATTTGATTGCTTGTTTGTTTAGCAAAAACTAAGAGAAATTATTATCTTTGTGCATATTGCAATATTACAGACTCGTCCGGATTGGAATTTACTTGATTTCGAATTTATTTATCTTTTTTTCCAATTTATATACCCACCTTGGACGTCCACTGTATATGATTAGTACCTAGTTGCCTGTCTTTCGTTGATAAAATTAAATTTTCAGCGCTTGAGTGGAGGCTTTGTTTAATTATTTTGTTTACCAATATAATTAACATTTTGCAAAGTGTTTTTCTCTCTCTTGTTTGTTTGCGTTTGTTGTTCTTTTTATGGTGTATGGTTGTTTTATTACCTCATATCATCCTAAACAGGAGAGAGAGAAATGTTTAAAGATGAGTAACGAAAGAAAGTAGTTCGTAACCAACAGGTCAGCAGTGTGATACTCTACAACATAGATGGGCAAAATAATAAAAGAGAAATGCTTAAGAGAATTTTGATGTAACTTTCCTGTAGTAAATATTTTACTTGTTTAATAATTTTTATACAAAAATATAATCGCAATTGGCGAAAACAATTATTTGATAAAAACAAATATTGAATATAATTCGTATAACTTTGTTTATTGATGTTTTTCTCATGACGGAGAATAAAAGACTTCAACGCTAGCGTGCATACTTGCCAATCTATGATCTACAAACATATAGAAATAAAGGTATAGACTAAAAAGTTTTAAAATTTTCCTGTTGCAAAATCGTCAGGCAAAATCTCATTATTGTTGTTTTTATAAAAACAACGTTTGTTTATGAGTGGAGAACGATGGTAATGTTTACCAGGGGGTTAGGCAGGGGAATACCTAGGTTTCGGAAAGAGCCACCAATCCTCATCAGTTCCCTTGTTTCTTGTCTGGGATATTCTCCCCAGAAGTTATTTAAAAAAAATAACTTCTATGACAAAAAACATTTTTTACCCAAGTGACGAGATCCTAAGCTCAATAGAAGAGAAACAAAAGAATTACATAAAACTAAAATTCTTTTGGAAAATCTTCTAAATCTTACAACCGCACTTATAAACATTTACATCTTTCTCCACTTGTTATGCTTTCGTTCAACCTGAACGAAGTAACATAACCAGTTTTTATAAAAACAACAATAATGGGATTTTGCCTGACGATTTTGCAACAACAAAATACTATGGTATCCCAAACAAGCAAGTCAAACACTGTTCTAAAATTTTCCTTTCCGGCAGATGTCACTATTGTTGATCTTGGGTCAGTCAAGTCACTCAGGGCTAGTGACGTCACTCATTTAAGTTCTATATTTTAATATTTCACTACATATTTGGATAATGTAAAAGTAAACAAAATCGATGTTCCGTTTTTAATTGATAAATAATAAAGAATCATACAAATATTTAATATTTTGTATATTGATATAATTCAGTAGTTAGAAACTCAGAAAACTTTTAAAATACCGTTCCCGGTATCATGAACGTGCTCTCAAATTAAATGTTACTCAAAACTAAAATTTATTCATAACATTTTACTCCACATTATTGACCGAGTGAAAAGTAGGAGCATTAATTTAAAAACATGCGACTAGGTTATTTCTTAATTTTTAAGGAATATATCAGAGTCCTGAAAATTTTAAAATTTCCCCGGTCTTGTACTTTTGCATACTTTTTAAAGACTCGACAAAATGTTCAGAAGTTTCCGAAAATCCTGACATTTTCAATTGTATAAAATCGGATGACTTTAAGGATATTAAAAGCTTCAGATAACAATTTTTATTAACTGTTTTCTAGGTACTTTTTATTTAATAATTAATTTATATTTATTGTCTGTCTGAAAGAGTTCAATACGACGTTAAATTCTCCTGATCCGAACTATTTTACCCTCCAACATGTAGAAATTTAATTTATGGCCAAATGCAGCTATGCTCAAAATCTCTAAAATTTTTGGAAGTTCCTTTATATGAGGGCTATATCTGTATTGTATATTTTTATAGGATTTGAATTATCCCCTGAGAATTAGAAATATCACTAGATATAGCCCATTTCCAACATCTTGGAAGTACCAGAAACATGAATGCCAAAATTATCTAGAAAATTATTTCAGATTTTGATTTTTATTCTGATCACAGATACATGTACTTTATGGGGTCTCCGACGAGCATTTTGAGTTGATGCAATAGGAACGACACAGTTAATATACTTCCAATTTTGTGAGGGTGTTTGTATGGAAGGGAACTTTTTAAAGTTGCTGCGAAGTTGACCCTGAGTATGAACTTCTTTATGCCTTCATAAATTCATGGTTGTCATTCTTTATAACAAAAGCGACAAAGTGAAAATAAGTCGTAATTCCAATTCGTTTGTAAAATATAGGCGTGAGAATTTGATTCTGTTTATGAAAAAAATTAATAAAAAAATAAAAAAAAAAACAAATCGAAGGCAATAAATTAAAATAAATAACAATTATTTTGGCTATTAAATTACAGACTTAAATTCAAAGATTTGAAACAAGTTTGTTCTATCTGCCCAAATTCGCCAGATTTAACTGATCTTTATTTAACTTAACAACGCCAAAGCATTGATCAAAAAGTCATAATTTTGCAAGAAATTATTTTTCAAAACAATTTAGGCGTTGCAGAGAAATGGTGATGTTTTATTTATTTCATGTTGGTAACACTGGTTTAAACAGCTCGCACAATGTCAAACATCTTCAGTTTGCATTATATTTTATGAACTACGCTTGCAAAACATTGACTTTTATTCTGAAAATGCGTGCATCTTCCAATCCCTTCTGGTACCTTAACCACAAAGGGTTACTATTGTCATATTGTCCTGTCATAATTGCGAAAAAATTCGGTGATTATATACAACTTGTTATACCTAAATATTTCTCTCAACCTGGAACCTGAGATTAATATGGAATTTTTGATTCCCCATAAAATTGGATATAAATGTTCGATTCTCTTGTAATTTTGTTCATACCAATATTTTTATCCGTATTAGATGAATTATAAAAATAGAATGCTTCGGTAGGCTATATGTGGTACCTCCCGTTGTAAAAATTTCTAAAATGTATCAAATATCTTATATAAATCCTGTCCAACCCTGGCACGTCGCAATATTTATATCATATTTGTTTTGGTCCGATACAAAATCAACAATATTGGTCCATTGCTTTGGAACCTACTCCATAGAGGGTCAAAAAGTAATAAAAGTCAAAATATATTTAAAAAATCGAACATTGGCTGGGGTATACATCTGTCGGCAAAACTGACCGATACTTTATAATTTTTAGTGCGTTTTAGGAATCTTCGTACCCCTAGACTGGCCCTTCGCGTTAGTCAGTTTTTTCACCAACCTTTTACATATATGAGATTTTTACAATCCCCGATCGGACTGTATGGTGTATTTTATATACAGAATTCTTTGAGGTGTCTTCTGTGTTTAGAAAATGAGGGAATAACTGAGGAGATCATTTCCATATTGCCTTTTAACTTTCCTACATGCCTATGTAGGGTGTTTGGCGCACAAAACTACAATCTCTTAATGCCGCTCTTTAGGCTCACACTCTATCTTCCTCCCAGTTCTTCAAACACATGATGGTTCTCTTTTATGTTTGCGTTTTGTTAGTTATCGCCATTGTCGTCGGCGGCGACGTTGTGTGCGATCAGCGGCAATCGTAGCTAACTAAGAACGAACGATGTGTGTGTTTTTGGTTGGGTGCGAAAAGAGGTGGTGTTTTGGGGGGCGAAAACTTGTCGGGAAATTTTCAAACCATAAACAGACGCCAAGCCAGTACGAGTGTGCTCATGTTGTTGTTGCTGTTGTTGTGTTTGGTTTCGAGACTCAAAAAGTTTTCCCCCATTTTTAGACAAATCCAGTTTGTTGTTGTTGTTTTAGGCTTTGGCTGGAGAGTTCTCTCGGAATTGTTAAAAAAGCGCCGTTTATTATTTGAGTTTGTTCAAAGTCTTATTCCCGAAAGCATTTCAAACACCAAACCAAAGCTATCTCATTGAATAATTCCGTTTAGTGGTATTGTTGTTGGGGTTTTGAATTCGAAATGAGATGAATTTTGATCTTTGTTCTGCTCTGCTCTTAAAGTGATCATTTCATTTTATGTTGTTGTGTTTTTCTTTTCTGGCTCTTTATTTTGATCATCATATTCGCATTTCTTTTCTTGTCGCAACAACAGCAACAACATCGTGATGGACACCAAAGTTGGCAGCGAGTGCTATATTCCCCACTTTGCTCACGCGAAAATAGTGAAGAGTTTTTGTTGTTGTTGTTGCTTCTCTGCTCTGCTTTGGGTGGTACACCGCCAGCCAGCCAGTCAGCCAAACCAGCCACTCAACTCAGCTGTTTTGATAGAGGGAATCAAATCGTGAGGCGCTTGGTCTACCACCAGCCAAGTGCCGTTGCTGCATTTAGTCGCGTTCGTAGCATTCACAATAGACGTTGGAACGGTTCGGTGCAAGGCCAAAAGAAAATGTGCAACAACAATATGGAAAAAAATTATTAAATACAACATTTTTTAACAACAAAAGAGTCGAAAGAATAACGGAAAAGAAAATGAAAACAAAATTTTCCCATTGCTGAAAATAATAATACCTTGCCGTGAAAATAAAAAAATGAATTGAAAGCAAATTGTTGTGTTCAAGTGTTTCTGATACAAGTGTATGTTAATAATTCTCATTAAGGTTGTAACAATTACAGCCATCCAATAAAAGGCAACAATTAATGGTCAGTGTCAATCAACGTCGTTCAATTTTCGTTTTTCGCATCGTTCGCGAGTTAAGCAACCAACGGCGAGTTTATGTGACAACTGTAAAAACAACAACAAACACCCCACCACCCCCTCTTCAACACCTCACCCCCAGCTATTACTGGCAATCAATAAAGAAAAATAAATTGTGTGAAAATTCTAAAGAAACAAAAAAAAATTATTTTGTGTAATGATGAAACAAAATCGAATCCTAATGAAAAAAAAATAGTGGAAAATAGAAAATCATTAACAACAACAAGAATTAGTGAGAAAAGTGCAAAATGAGAAGAAGAAAAATAACACAACAAAATATAATTGCAAAATAATTCGTTGTAGTCGTCGTCAAAATGTTGTGATTTAAGCGGTTTATTCAATTCTTGGCTATACAAAGTCATCATCGCAGTTGTCGTTGTTGCCATGTTTTTCTCTGTTCCATGTATCTACCGTACATTTGTTTGTCCGTCTGTCTATGGGTATTATCGCTGGCGTTTTGTCGGACGTTCTTTTGTATTATTCGATTACTATTGTTTTTGTTGCTGTCGGTTTTTTTGACCACTTAGTAGTTTTTGTTTTTCGATACATAACCTGGTGGCAATATTGTTTTGTTGTTGCTGCTTCGCTGCTGTTGTTAGTTTTGTTGTATGCCGCCACTTACGTTAGTCAACTTGTGCGGTGTTATTTTTTTGGTACTGACCTCCATACCCATAAGTCACTCATTTTCATTCATTCATTCTTACGGATAGCAGATCTCACCTCTTTATTATGCCGGCGTAACTGACATAAGAACATAGTCAGGCGAAATTTTCTATCAACATTTTTGCTTTGCACAACAGAAATGATTAGCAATTGGTTGAAAAGTTTAAATAATTTTATTGAAACATAAAAAAAAATTAAGTTCGGCCGGGCCGAACTTTTAATACCCTCCACCTTAGGGTAATGGAAACACTAGAACCAATTATGACCCACAAATACCAATTTTTAGACATATTCATGGGAAAATGCGATAAAAATCAACAAAATACCGAACATCGGGAGGTACCTCTATATAGAACTATACAAAAGCGTGTATGTATAGGTCATACAATATTTTGCCAACGGAGCTAGAACTCATTATGACCAACAATTTCCAATTTTTAGACAGATCCGCGATAAAATGTGACAAAAACCATCAACATACCGAATATCGGAAGATAACGTTATATGGAGGCTATACCAAAGCATGGACCTATACATACAATGTTTCGGCGCACGAACTAAGACCCATTATGACCGATAAATACTAATTTTCAGAAAAATCCGTGAAAAAATGTAAAAATCATCAAAATACCGAATATCGGGAGGTACCGTTATATGGGGGCTATACCAAAGCGTTGACCTATACATGCAAAGTTTCGCCACCGGAGCTAGAACCTATTACGAATTTTCAGATAAATCCGTGAAAAAGTGTGGCAAAATTCATCAAAATAAAGAATATCGGGATGTACCGTTATATGGGGACTAAACCAACACATGGACCGATATATCTCATTTTCAATTCCAACCATCCTAGATACAATACAAATTATTCTGCTAAATTTTGAAGCTCTACGTCAAATAATGTGGGCTGTATCGTGATTTCAACAGACAGACGGACATCGTTAAATCGTCTTACAATTTTATGCTGATTATGAATATATATACATTATGGGGTCTACGACGAATATTAAGGGATGTTACAAACGGAATGGCAAAGTTAATATACCCTCCTTTCCAAGGTACATATGAACAAAAAATTTACATGAATAAATAATAATCACAAAATTTGGGGAAAATGTTAATAACGATAATATCGAGTTCGAACTTTCAATGCCTTCCAGTATGAGGTAAAGAAAAGAGTTCTTTGGGAAACGCAAGGAGTGGGTGTGATTCTCACTCACTTGAGAATGCTCGACAAATGTACAACAAAAGTTGTCGTATCAAAAAGCTGAAAAGCCAAGGGCCAATTTTTTTTTGCCTGGATGAAATCATGATATTGGTAGCGATCAGAAAATATTGCAAAGTTGTTAGTTTTGATATGAACAACATTGTTCTCTGTGGTTGTATGTAATATGGGTGAATACTCCAGAAGTAAGCAATCAACTTATTTAATCGTCAACAATAACAAAACAAACTACAAAATATTATTAATAATAGCATCTGGATTCAATATTCGAAAATGTTCCACTAAAAAGTGCAAATACCTGTAAGATCGGGTGGAGAACCTATTATGAACGACAAATACCAAAATTTTCCGGTAGATAATGTGGCCTAAATTCTAAATATCTGGAGGTACCGTTTAAAGAGGCTAGAACCCTTTACAAACTGTTAATTCCAAATTTGGAACAATTCTGTGAAAAAAAATGTGGCTAAAATCTTCAAAAACTCCGAATATCGGGCTGTGCCATTATGGTTAAAACAATATGGATAATGTTCTGACACCAGTAGTAGAAACCATTATGAAATTCAAAAAATACAAAAGGACAATAGCGATTGTGTTATCTTCTCAGAGGGTATGGGCCAGATTCTCTTGGACATATGGCATCCCCTTTCATCTAGCCAATTCGGCGAACTTAATTATCGAATTTAAAATTGTCGATTAATAAATAACAATATTACGACCCACAAACTTAGAATTTCATCAAGATTTTCGAAGAATGAAAATGGTGGATATGGCAGTAATAGATGAGGTTATACCTAAAATCGCCCTACACATGCAAAATATTTGTGTTCCCTCAAACATATTCCAAGCAAAAAGTTTGCAACAAAACAAAAAAAAAAAAAAAAAAAACTCGGTTCATCACATATTTTCATCTGAAGCACTTATGAATCTTACAAAAACATACAGTCCGCTCTGCTGCCATCCATATCATGTCTTTTGCTTGAGTGCGCAGAAGTGCATTAAAATGTAATCCTTGGAATGAGTTTTAAATAAGTTGCATATTGTGATGAAAAGGCACCCTCTTGTCTTTTTAATTAACATGGAAGTATAATGAAAAATGCAGTCTCTTCAATAAAAGTAAACACTTACGATGAATTTAAATGAGTCTTAATTTTTTGTTGAAAAAAGTCGCTACAATTTAAATAAAATTTAAAAAGAAATTATAATTGTCAAAAACAACTATTTCAGGAAAAAACATTTGGGGTTGATCTAGCGAATTATCTTGAAAGGAGTATCTGATTTGATCCAAACTTAGTATATCGTAATATTATTATCAAACTTAGATCGAGTTCATAGATGGTCAATATAGGTCCACTCCAATATAGGCAATATCGACTCACTTCTTCTGGTAACCCACCACAAAAGGTCGAACATTTTGAAAAAAAAATATATTTTATTGCACAGAAGAAGAAAGGATAATCCGATTTTGCTCCAACTTTTCAAATCCTAATATTTGCATCAGTGCGAGATCAGGTACGAAATTGGACATTATCGGGACCACAAAGGGTAAAAATTTTGTATAATTATAACTCTTATAAAATGTGACTTGAGAGTCCGATTGTCTTTAAATTACATACATGATAATAGTTTTATTAACCCAAGGTCTGGTGTGAACATGGAATATATCGGTACACTCCTTCTGGTATCTCCCTCACAAAGGGTCAAAATTTATTTACATAATATGTTATAAAGATGATAGCGATCGGACCATTCCGTATGGTACCTCCTCCACAAAGGTTGAGATTTTGAACAACCAAAAGGATCATAAAATTCGAAATAAGCATCCGGTTATCTTCAAATTACATATCACACAATATTTTTATTAACCTAAGGTCTGGTGTGAAAATGGGATATATCGGTCTACTCCTTCTGGTATCTACCCCGCAAAGGGTCAAAATTTTGAAAACCCATGAAACTTATAAAATGCGAAATTAACATCCGATGTCATTCAGAGTTGTACAAATCAATATTTTCCACAAGACAAGATCATATATACGGATCGCACCATTTATTCTGGTACCTACCCCACATAAAGTTTAAGATTTTTGAAAAATAAAACGCTCAAAAAAATCGGAAAACGAATCCAACTCTCTTCAAATTTCACACATCCAAATATTTTTGCTAACGTAATATCTGTTGTGAAGATGATATATATCTGTCAACCCCTTCTGGTACCTCACCCACAATTTCCAATAATTATATCTGTCAATTTAGCTATTCTTTACAACTTGCTATATCTAAATATTTCTCTGATATGAATATGTAATTTATCGGAATTGATGATTTCGCATACAATTGGATATAAATGCCCGATTTCCTTCAACTTTTACACATACCAATATTTTTATCTGTATTAGATGAGGTATGGAAATGGACTAACTCGATCCGCTCTATATGTTGGCTCACGCATATTTCCACATTTTCCAAGAATTTGCACATATCTCATATAAAGTATAGGAAGTAGTCGATGTAGTACAAATCTGGTAGCTTTTAATATTTTTATCAGTCTTAGGTCAGATACGCATTGGTCAACATTGGCCTACGGCTGCACAGCTTCCACCATAAAAGGTTAACAGTTTGAATAATCATAACTCAAGGCTGAGGGCATACATCTGTTGGCAAAACCGACTGATTCAATTTTACTTGTTTAAGTTCCTTTCAATTGGCAGAGGGTATTAAAAGTTCGGTTCGGCCGAATTTTTTACATGTCAGGAAAAGGAATACCTTTTCACAAACATTAGTTCAAAATGTTGTAGGGTATCACATGGCCGACACAGATTGACTAAAATCGTTGATTACTTATTCTAGGAGGCAAAAAATGACAGGCTTCCTGGTAGTTTTAAAGTCAAATCTGCTGCCTAATCTCCAAAAATGCGAAATTTCTCTTAGATTGAATTCAACCCAATGTACAACAATCCCTCCCATTTGGACATATATTTCGTATTTGATAAATAAGTAATTAGAATAGGAGGAATACATATACAAATCTGACAAAATATCAGCCATTTCAAAAAAAAAAAA